CAACAATAGAAATCGCACGTGTCTTACACGGTTAATGAAGTTAATGTCGCCGACGTCGAGATAGTCCTTAATTCCCCCCCCCCCCCCCCCCCAATCGAAGGTTGTTTGAAAAAAAAAACAGAAAATCGAAATCGTGTTTAATATGGTTATTGTGGCAAATATAGAGCTAGTCTTGTTTGCTGTACCACGACCTACTCTATGTATTAGAGAAGGCGTTGGCTGCACGTAACTCGCCGGCGAATGGTAAAAGCCTTGCGTTCTGACTATGGCGCATGCGCAATTACTAACGTGGCTACAATTAGAAATTTTAAATATTAGTTTCGAAAATTATGGCTTAAATTGTGGTAACCTATCTCTAACAATGACAGGTTGAATTTCAAACCATGATGGTTCAACATCCGGTATCAAAACAAACATATCCTGAAAATTTCAGCTAAATCGGTTCAGTAGTTTCCGAGTCTATAAGGGGCAAACAAACACACAAACATTGATTTATATATATATAGATTTAGGCACTATTCTTTTCTAGAATATGACCATTACTTCTGCTTTCCATTTTTAAAACTGAAGCCCATTTTATCACTTTCTGCTAACTTATTATCTATCAATGCCTGTAGTTCTTTCTGAATGTCATTTAACAACTTTTTCATCCGAAATGTACTAAAGTGTCAATTTCTTTCAAAGTGATGTTGTCTGGCATAAATATCAATGATATTATTTGTTGCAGCAAAATGGGGGACGCTATCATGAGGGTATCTACTTGTTGTAGCTGCGACAATGGACAGAAAAAAAGGGAAAGGGGTGGGGGGGGGGAGGTGTGGGGGAGAGACAATGGTGACACAAGTTTGTTCTTCATAAACTCAAACATAGACGACTGTTGGGAAAAAAATATGTTTACCATTGTTGTTGTTGCTGTTGTTGTTGTTGCTGCTACTCTTGCCATTGTTGTTGTTGATGTTGTTGTTGCTGTTGTTGTTGTCGCCGTTATTGTTGCAGTTGTTCTTGCTGTTGTTGTTGCTTACATGGGTTATGATTTGGGTTATCTTTACAGAATTCCGTTGTTGTTGTTGTTGATGTTGCTTCTGTTGTTGTTGCACTCCATTGCTGTTGTTGCTGCTGCTACTGTTTTTGTTGCTGTTGTACTGGTAGTCCAGTGTGGGTGTGTTTTACATTATAGTAGGACACAAAACGGTTAGGAAGTGGCCTGTAGTCCAATGTGGGTGTGTTTTACATTCGAGTGGCACAAACAAGGGTTAGGAATTTTTCGGTAGACCAGTGTGGGTGTGTGTGTTTTGCAGATGCAATAGTTAACAGTGGTTATGAAGAGGAGAAAATGGAAATAAAAGCACCGCTACAAAGAAATCATGTTAGTTGGGAGGGGGGGGGGAGGAGGATCAGTCAGTTTATAATCTTCTAGCGCAGATGGTGTTGCGATCAAACCTTTTTCAAACTTGGAAAGAACTTGGAATCCGCTTAAAGTTTTAGGTCACATATTTCTTCAAAACTTGAACGCGACCTTGGTGACTGAAAGCCTGTCACGTGTTAGCTACACGTTACCTTCTTCTTCTTCTTCTTCACTTCCTCTTTTACCGCTGTGGGTGTCGAGGGAGATATAAGGTTCTGTTTCTAGCTCTTCTGGCTGCCTCGACCATAGGCATATCGTACTGTTGTAGAGTTTCTCTGATGTTATCCTTCCATCTTGTTCTTGGTCTACCCCGTGCTCTACGCCCTTCTTCTTTTCCCATGTATGCTTTGTATGGTATGGTGTCACAAGGGATTCTCTCTAAGTGGGCAAACCATTTCACTTGCTGTCTTTGTATGTAATCCAGAATTGGTTCTGTGCCGACTTGTTCTCTTATGATCTCATTTCTGATCTTATCTCTTATGGTCACTCCTACAACCCTTCTCAGACATCTCATTTCCGTGGTTACTAATTTTCTTTTATGGTTTGTTGTGAGTGACCATGTCTGGCACTGGTAGCACAGAGTTGGAATAAATATGCTTTGAATAAGATGTCTCTTTGTGCTGATTGGGATTGTCTTATGCTGTAAGAGGGGGGGGGGGGGGGGGGGGGGGGCTAGCTGTCCCAATACTTGGATTGCTTTACTGCATCTAATGTCAATTTCTTTATCCAATTTCCCATCTTCGGTAAATGTAGTTCCCAGATATTTAAACTCAGCTGCCTGTTTAATGCCTTTGTATTCTATTGTTATGTTTAGATCTGTCTTATTTTTTCCTATTGACATTACTTCTGTCTTTTCAGTGTTGATTCTCATATTATTTGTTTTACATTCTTCATTCATGGATGTTAGATGTTGTTGCAATTTCATACACGTTACCACTCAATTTATTATATTATTTTTTAGTTAATTGTGTATGGTTAGTAAATTAAATCTTATGGCTAAGTATGAAAGTCGTATCCTTGTATGTAAAATTGCTATGATTTTGGCTGTGCCCAAAATCGACTATTTGTAAAATTATTACTGATGTGACTAAAGGGGTTACGACTCTGCAGGTTCTTCTTCGTCTTTAGCATTCCCCTTGAGGTTCATTACTACAGATTTCACCCGCTTCCATTCATCTCTCTGGTTGGCCTTCTCTTTCCTGTTGGTGACACCAAGTGTTTGCAGGTCTGCCTGGACATTATCTCCCCATGTTCTTCTTGGTCTGCCTCGGGGTCTACGACCATTCATCTCCCTTGTGAATTCAGTTTTCACTTCTCTGTCATCTGACATTCTCTCAATATGCCTCAACCATTTCAGTCTATTAGCTATCATGATGTCAGTGATCAGAGGTGTTTGAAACAAATTATAAATTTCGTTGCTGCCTCTCACTCTTCATTCCCCACTGTTTGCATCTTTGATGGGTCCAAAGATTCGTCGTAAGACTCTTTTTTCGCAAACTTTTAACCTCTGCAGGTTAGGTTAAAAATTATGGAAGTGATGAAGAAACTCATTAGTTTCTAACAAGGAAAAACATCCTGCATGTGACACACGGTGTATGCTGTTCGTCCATCACAGGTGATGATGACCAGTCCTCTCACCCCCTGGTGACTGGATTCGGTTTTGTGAGTGCGCAGATGGTGATAAGGCCAGTTCTAGCATTGAACACTTTTAATATTGACCATTAGATGAACCAACCGATCCGGACAGACCGGAAATGTCCGCTTCAGATCAAGGAAGGGTCTCAAGCTATGTTCACAGATGCACTCGTGAGTGAGTGAGTGAGTGAGTGAGTGAGTGAGTGAGTGAGTGAGTGAGTGAGTGAGTGAGTGAGTATGTGTGGGCTTGTGTTTGTGTGAGTATGTGTATGTATGTTCAGTGTATGAGTGTGCTTGTATTATGTGCACACATCCTGGCAGTGTGATGGTGGCTATAAAATAGCGTGTGTCCGTGTATGTGTCTGTATTTGAGTGGATATTCACGTAATTGATTATGTGTGTAGGAGAAATTACAAGGAAGTTTAATCTGTCGATATTATGACGAAATAAGACAACAAAGCTGACAGTATAAATATCTGGTGCATACATTGACTTCCTTGTCATAAAATGATAAAGATAACTATGTTTATATGCAAGCAAGCAAGTCAGTAATTAAGTAAGTAAAGAAATAAATAAGTAAGTAAAAGTTAAAACGTAATTGTAATGTTGTGAATTCCCGGGGAAATCCCAGAGAGTTCCCGATGGGGAGGACAAGGTCGGAGGACCAGTGATACAAGAGAAAAACGGGATAAGTGAGTCTCGTGTATCTTATGGTGAGCGAAGTGAGGGACACAAGAAAAACAAGAGATGTGAACGAAAGATGAGAACCGGGAGACAGAAGTAAGACAGTTGAAGTTCGGCCTGGGCTGAGAGAGGTCGCACGAGTGGACGCCTGAGAAGAATGAATGAATCGTGAAACGAGTGTTATATTTCGAAAGGAGAATTTAATTTAGTTCCACATGTTTAATGTCAAGTACCAGGGTTCGTAAAGGATGGATGGACGATTCGAAAGACGCTGATGGATTCATGCAGTGTGTGAGAAGCTGACCAGGTCGCCAGAATCAGCCGAGCGAGACGAACACGAGGACGCGAGAATGTATGCATGCGATATATTGTGATTTAACGAATAAAAGCAGGTAACTCAATATTCGTTCCTGCTATGTCGCGACTACTTACTGCTCGTCTGAAAATAATGTGGCTTAACAACACATACCCTTAGCAGAGCACATTACAGTAATCAAAAAGTAAATAAACAAGTAAAAGAGTAAGTATAAAAACAAGTACAAAAGGTGAGTAAATAAGTAAGTATATAAATAAGCAAATAAAAAGTAAATCGGTAGGTGAAAAGTAAATAAGTAAAAGAGTAAAAAGGTATGTCATTAAGAAGCAAATAAGTAAATAGACCGTAAAAACAGAATTAAGTAAAAAGTCAATAAAGTACGTTAAGGGTCACACATTACAACAAGTCAGTCATTTCAAATAATTAGGATCCATTTTAAGTGACCTTGTCTCAAGACCAGAAATCACGTCTAGAATTGCCCAGATAACATCAGTTCTTCTAAAGCAGCAAACACTGCGGAGATCCAAAAACATTTCATGCACAACTAATATTCGATTGCTCAGAGCACTTGCTACTAATACATTTACATATGGATGTGACACGATGACCTTAACAGCTAAACTCGAAAGAAAAATGCAAGCATTGAATATGAGATGCTTCAGAAAGATTCTTGGCATATCATACATAGACCACACTAACAACGAAGAGGTTTGCCATATAATTATACATCACATTGGCAGCTACGAACCTCTTTTAACTACAGTGAGGGAACGAGAAAGAAATGTAGACCAAGAAAGACCTGGTTGCAGAACCTGACTGACTGGACAGGCCTCAGGCCTGCAACCATGAAGTCCATCGTAACTGACCGCCAAAGGTGGAGAAAGCTATCAGACAGCCAACAGACAGACACACACACACACACAGAGTCATGAACACGTGCGCTGATGTGATTGCACGTGATTATTCACAGACAGGATAGACAAGTCTCCTAGACAGCTCAATCACGGGAGCCCCACAAGAACCTGGACAAACTAGGGAAGTGTGTGAACACTGGCTTCCTTCTGTATCAGCGTTACCTGGGTTACCACAGAAGCAAATGCTGACCTGTTTGGCACATCCGTGCGGGTGAGAGACCACAAAATATAGAACAGAGTTTTTTTGTTTACTATATTCGCCGTCGTTTACTTTGACGTGTTTCGTGGATTTCAAAGAATTATTCAGTATCGGATTAACAAGACCACGTGCCAACACGTATATCTTATTTTGAAGACTGTGTACAAGATCCATGTTATGTATGGAATATTTAACTCTGCATGTGCCGTTAGTGGTCTCATTGTTATAAAACTCCGCATCGTCGAGTTTATCGAGATTTTGGCAGGTTGCCAGTATTTCTCCAGAAGAAGACAACAGCTCACAAGTTGTGTGCTCTGCCTCCAGTTCATCGTAAACAAGATGATTTGACGTCCTCATGGTAATATAAGCCACCGTTGGTTTTGATTCTGGAGAATCCTTGCATTTTTTACAGTAACATTCTTTATTGTCATATACTTTTACATGTGCAATCCAGCCAGTGCCTACCCTCGTCAGGCGACTGCCCCTGTTACTGGACCACGGGTACGGGATGGCAGTTCCCGGGACAGTCTCAGGTCTGTTCTCACTGACATAGTTGACTGTCACACGGACAGTCAGATCTGACACCAGTTTTATAAATTCCATGAGGTTATTACTTCGGTAGGAAGGCGGGAGATGGTCCATACTGAAGGTGTCAACAGAAAAGAAATTCTCGTGTCCTGGATTCTTCTTACAGTCGGCGTAATGCTGGTTCCGATCTTGCTCTTCTACACTACAGAAGTTGTCTTCCCATGGTCCTGTTAGATCGATGGCCAGTGAAACATATAAATATATATATATATATATATATATATATATATATATATATATATATATATATATGCACACACACACACGCACACACATAAATACATATATACAAATAAATATACATACATATATATACACACACATACACACACACACACATATATATATATATATATATATATATATATATATATATATATATATATATATATATAGGCATCTTTATTCTTTTGTTAGTAATACATGTTTAAATATTATAATATTTAGGAAACAAACACTATTACTGTGTTTGAACCTGCGTTGTTTAGCCTAACCTTTCCTTGATTTGAATCTTATTTAGTCACAACTGTCGTTTCTTTTCACCCGCATCACTATTGTCTCTCATTGTTTGCCACCTGTCTCTACAATCTAGCTTGTTTATTCTCACCTGTGTTTCTTATGTAGCTTGTTTCTCACCTAACTCTTTATGTAGCAGAGGTCTCTGTCAGGTGTCTGTCTCCAGTGGAGATCACCGCTAGGTGTCTGTTTCCAACATAGGTCACCGGAAAGCGTCTGTCTCCAATAGAGATCACCGCTAGGTGTCTGTCTCCAACAGATGTCACCTCCAAGTCTCTGTCTCCAATAGAGGTCAGCGTCAGGTGTCTGTGTCATCCATAGGTCACCATTTGTCAGGTATGCGTCTCATACAGAAGTCGCCATCCATCAGGTGTCTGCTACAGGTTTTAGCATCTGTCGGGTGCCTCTATTATGCACAAGTCACCCGCTCTCCGCCAGATTTCTGTCTCATTCAGAGGTATCCATCTGTCAGATATCCGTCTTGTGCTTGTCTCATTTCTGAAGCTCTTTGTGAAAGTTGGCCTGCATGTGTCGGATATCCATTAACACAGATACAATTTTTTCTGAATATAACCATATCCGCAAATCAACGCCAACAATTATCCCTGAAATACCTCTTACACATTTAAAACTATTTTCTAACGTATAATATTCATGTTCTAACGTATAATATTCATGTTTTAACGCATAATATTTATGTTCTAACGTATAATATTCATGTTCTAACGTATAATATTCATGTTCTAACGTATAATATTCATGTTCTAATTTATAATATTCATCCTAAACACATAATAATTTACGTCATCCTATATAGCAGTGGCTCTCAACCTTCATAATGCTGCGACCCCTTTATACAGTTCCTCATTTTGTGGCAAACTCCAGCCATACCATTATTTTGGTTCCTACTTTATAACTTCAGTGAATATGTGTTTTCCGATCGTCTTTGGCGACCCCTGTGAAAGGGTGGTTCGACCCCCAAAAGGGTCACGACCCACAGGTTGAGAACCGTTGCTATAAAGAATATAGAGATATATATTTATAACGAACCTGTATGCAGTTGCAACATTTCCAGGGAAACGAAGTTTGGTGTTAGCCACTCTGTGTAGAAGAGAATGTATTTCAATCTGAGTTTGAGTTTATCCTTATATATTTGTCGCTCTATCAGCACCATTAAGCTTGTTGTCTTGGCTATTTGCATATTATGTATTGAGGTGTGCACAGCAAAGTTTCTTCATCTCCAAACATGACATCAAGTTCACGTGTACACAACTGTGTAAACAGCCAACGAATGTCATGTGTACACACTTTTTTTAATTTCTGAAAGTGTTATATAATCTGGGACTCATATCAATTTGTTTATCTGAAAATTCCTTCTCCATTTCTTGTTTACGCGCCCGTTTTTTTAATGATAAAATGACATCTACTTCATGTGTACGCGTCCGTTATTTTCTCATTATTGTGAAAATGACATCTACTTCATGTTTATACGTCCGTTATTTACTCATTATTGTTAAAATGACATCTACTTCATGTGTACACATCCGTTATTTTCCTGTTGTTAACATGACTCTACTGCGTGTGTACGTGTCAGTTTTATTTTTATTTTTGGTAACATGACATTTGCAACATGAAAACGCGCCCGTTATTTTCTTGTTGTGAACACGACACATACTTCATGTGTTCACAAATTTATTCCGTGGGGTATTCTGCTTGTAGCTCTTGTTGTTGTTACTATTGTTGATGTTGTTACTATTGTTGATGTTGTTGTTGTTACTATTGTTGATGTTGTTGTTGTTGTTGTTGTTCTTTTTCTTCTACTACTACTACTACTGCGACTGCGACGGCGACGACGACGACGACGCCGCCGCCGCCGCCGCCGCCGCCGACGACCTTTCTATCTCCTTCTTCTCCTTCTCCTTCTCTTCTTCTTCTTCTCCTTCTTCATTTTCTTCTTCTTCTTCTTCTTCTTCTTCTTCTTCTCTCTTCTTCTTCTTCTTCGTCTTCGTCTTCGTCTTCGTCTTCTTCTTCGTCCTTCTTCTTCTTCTTCTTCTTCTTCTTCGTCTTCTTCCTTCTTCTTCTTCCTTTCTTCCTTCTTCCTTCTTCCTTCTTCCTTCTTCCTTCTTTTTCTTCCTTCTTTTTCTTCCTTCTTCCTTCTTTTTCTTCCTTCTTTTTCTTCCTTCTACTTCTTCCTTATTCTTCTTCCTTCTTCTTCTTCCTTCTTCTTCTTCCTTCTTCTTCTTCCTTCTTCTTCTTCCTTCTTCTTCTTCCTTCTTCTTCTTCCTTCTTCTTCCTTCTTCTTCTTCCTTCTTCTTCTTTTTCTTCTTCTTTTTCTTCTTCTTTTTCTTCTTTTTTTTTTCTTCTTTTTTTTTCTTCTTCTTTTCTTCTTTTTTTTTCTTCTTTTTTTTTCTTCTTTTTCTTTTTTTTTCCTTTTTTTCCTTTTCTTTTTTTTCTTTTTTCTTTTTCTTTTTTTCTTTTTGTTTTTTTTCTTTTTGTTTTTTTTGTTTTTTTTTCTTTTTCTTTTTTTTCTTTTTCTTTTTTTTCTTTTTCTTTTTCTTCTTTTTCTTTTTCTTCTTTTTCTTTTTCTTCTTTTTCTTTTTCTTCTTTTTTTTCTTCTTCTTTTTTTTCTTCTTCTTTTTTTTTCTTCTTTTTTTTTCTTTTTTTTTTCTTCTTTTTTTTTTCTTTTTTTTTTTCTTCTTTTTTTTTCTTCTTTTTTTTTCTTCTTTTTTTTTTCTTCTTTCTCTTCTTCTTTCTCTTCTTCTTTCTCTTCTTCTTTCTCTTCTTCTTTCTCTTCTTCTTTCTCTTCTTCTTCTTTTTCTTCTTCTTTTTCTTCTTCTTCTTCTTCTTCTTCTTCTTCTTCTTCTTCTTCTTCTTCTTCTTCTTCTTCTTCTTCTTTTTCTTCTTCTTTTTCTTCTTCTTTTTCTTCTTCTTTTTTTCTTCTTCTTTTCTTCTTTTCTCTTTTCTTCTTCTTTTTTCTCTTTTCTTCTTCTTTTCTTCTTCTTCTTTTTCACTTCTCCTTCGTTGTCTTTTCTCCTTCTTTTTCTTCTTCTTTTTCTTTTTCTTTTTTTTTTCTTTTTTTTTCTTTTTCTTCTTCTTTTTCTTCTTCTTTTTCTTCTTCTTTTTCTTCTTCTTTTTCTTCTTCTTTTTCTTCTTTTTCTTCTTTTTCTTCTTCTTTTTCTTCTTTTTTTTCTTCTTCTTCTTTTTCTTCTTCTTCTTTTTCTTCTTCTTCTTTTTCTTCTTCTTCTTTTTCTTCTTCTTCTTTTTCTTCTTCTTCTTATTCTTCTTCTTCTTTATTCTTCTTCTTCTTTATTCTTCTTCTTCTTTATTCTTCTTCTTCTTTATTCTTCTTCTTCTTTTTCTTCTTCTTTTTCTTTTTCTTCTTTTTCTTCTTCTTTTTCTTCTTCTTCTTTTTATTCTTCTTCTTTTTCTTCTTCTTCTTTTTCTTCTTCTTCTTTTTCTTCTTCTTCTTTTTCTTCTTCTTCTTTTTCTTCTTCTTCTTTTTCTTCTTCTTCTTTTCTTCTTCTTCTTTTTCTTCTTCTTCTTTTTCTTCTTCTTTTTCTTCTTCTTCTTTTTCTTCTTCTTCTTTTTCTTCTTCTTTTTCTTCTTCTTTTTCCGTTTTACTTCATGGCCAGATAAATCAAGCCAATGCAAACCTACAGGATCATCACAAAACAGAGCCGCTAGTGAAGGCAACAAAACTACTGCTTCGATCTAATTAAAAGAGAAAAAAGATAAGACAAATGTAAACCAGTGTGTTTATCCGTCATAAATTTTTATAGTGTGTACTGACCTCTGTAGACACGGCAAAAGTTGGTCCCAAGTTGCCCCTCGGAAGCCCCACAGTGAGGTATCGCTGAATATTTTTTACCCATAGATGGGCCTCCGAACCACTGCAACTCACACACATGAGCTCCACTAGATCCCGGACAACTTCCAGTGCTGTATAAAAATGAGCTCATTTCACTGTTAATCTCTTCTGCGCATGTCCAGCGACCTATGCTGACCTGCTTGCTACATCCGTGAGGGTGGGACACCATAAACACCATTGGCTGCTTGTCCAGAACATCCAGTCTCTGTTTGAACTTACGAATCTTGGGAAATTTACCAAGGATATTTTGACTAAGATCGTTCGCTCTTGCAACGCTCTGTTGAAGTCTACGTGCCAGATCAAGGTCATGAGTGTAATGCCAGAGAAAACACCTATCTTCAGTGATATCGGCGAACAGAAATAACATGCCTGTCAGTGTGACGACACCGCTACAGTCGCTTAGAGTATCTCCTCTATCAAAGAACAGATGACACATGGTGTGTTCTAGCTCAATATCGTCAAAAATCACGTGGCCTGCAGTGATTATGAGAATTCTGGCATAGTTCATCTCCGGTGTAGAAGAGTTCCGACACTGCTTACATTTACAAGGGCCTCTTGGATCCATTTCCACATAATCCACCCACCCGGTCCCTAATGTCATCCTAGTCTTACCCCTGACTTTGTATCCTGGATACTGCTTGCGACTGAACGGAGCAGTGGCTGGTCTCTTGTCACTGACATAATTGACTGACACACGAACTGTCAGGTCCGACACAGTCCGGATATAATCGACTACATCTTTGTCTCGGTAATCTTCGGGGAGATCATCGATACTGAATTTGTCTAAAGGTATAAAGTTCTCGTGACCTGGATTCTTCGCACACTTGTCGTAATGTCGGTGGAGGTCAACCTCTCCCCCATAACTGTACTCACACTCCCATGGACCTGGTAGACATACAGGACATCTTGTTATGGACAAATTACATTATCAATGTATGGAGCTGGTAGATAGATACAAGACATCATGTCATGGACAATATTACATCATTATTGAATGGAGCTGGTAGATACAGGACATCATGTCATGGACATAATAACATTATCAATGTATGGAGCTGGTAGACAGATAGATGACATCTTGTCATGGACAATATAACATCATCAATGTATGGAACTGGTAGACAGATACAGGACATCTTGTCATGGATAATATAACATATTCTTTTTTTTTTTTTTGGTCATCTTTTCTGCTTCTTATTTGTATTCTCTGTTTCAATGCGTCTACTGGCTGTAAACTCCGGCTGAATTCTGGTTGCTCGTCTAGTTCAGGAGTTTGGTTTTGTTTAAGAACTTTAGTTTTGGCTAGAAATCCGTTTGATGGACTTAGCTTTTTTTTAGATTGTAGTTTCATCCCTCTCGGGCAAATACACTCTGACTTCAAACCCCCCCCCCCCCCTCCAATAATTATTCCCTGTTTACATGTTTGTTAGGGGGCAATGAGTCTCCCCCCCCCCACTCCCCTTAGCCCCCACAATGAGGACCCAGATTCAACACGAGTAAGCTCATAGATAAATACCGGCAGGTTAATCGTAACTTACAACCCCCATATAGAGGCTATACAGACAGTGGATCATACATACATATAGAGGTTATACAGACAGTGGATCGTACATACATATAGAGGTTATACAGGCAGTGGATCATTCATACATATAGAGGCTATACAGACAGTGGATCATACATACATATAGAGGCTATACAGACAGTGGATCATACATACATATAGAGGTTATACAGCCAGTGGATCATGCATACATATAGAGGCTATACAGACAGTGGATCATACATACATATAGAGGTTATACAGACAGTGGATCATTCATACATATAGAGGCTATACAGACATTGGATCATTCATACATATACAGGCTATACAGACAGTGGATCATACATACATATAGAGGTTATACAGACAGTGGATCATACATACATATAGAGGCTATACAGACAGTGGATCATACATACATATAGAGGTTTTAAAGACAGTGGATCATGCATAAATATATAGGCTATACAGACAATGGATCATACATACATATAGAGGCTACACGGACAGTGGATCATACATACATATAGAGGCTATACAGACAGTGGATCATACATACATATAGAGGTTATACAGACAGTGGATCATACATACATACATATAGGCTATACAGACAGTGGATCATACATACATATAGAGGCTATACAGACAGTGGATCATACAAACATATATATAGAGGCTACACAGACAGACAATTAATCATACAAACATATATATAGAGGCTACACAGACAGACAGTTAATCATACATACATATGGAGGCTATACAAACAGTGGATCATACATACATATAGAGGCTATACAGACAGTGGATCATACATACATATAGAGGCTATACAGACAGACAGTGGATCATACATACATATAGAGGCTATACAGACAGACAGTGGATCATACATACATATAGAGGCTATACAGACAGTGGATCATACATACATACATATAGACGCTATACAGACAGTGGATCATACATACATACATATATATAGAGGCTATACAGACAGTGGATCATACATTCATTCATTCAGTAGCATGTCCCTCGCGGAACCTCGCTGCCATAACAACCCTCCGGAAAACCTTCCTATCATGAGCAAGATGTCCTGCGTCTGATACACCCATCTGGAGATCATCTGCCACATCCTGCACCCATCTTCTCCTTGGCCTTCCTCTTCCTCTCTTCCCAGGCATATACCCCTCCATTATTGTTCTCTCTAGACCTCCATGACGTTTCAAGTGACCAAAATATTTCAATTTTCTTTGTTTTATTGTCTTTACTAGCCAACCCTCTTCAATATTCAGCTCTTGAAGTATGGATGCATTTGTTCTTTTCTTTACCCAAGATATTGGATCATACATACATACATATATATATAGGCTATACAGACAGTGGATCATACATACATATTTATAGAGGCTATATAGACAGACAGTTGATCATATATACATATAGAGGCTACACAGACAGTGGATCATACATACATATAGAGGCTATACAGACAGTGAATCATACATACATATAGAGGCTATACAGACAGGCAGTTGATCATACATACATATAGTGGCTATACAGACAGTGGATCATACATACATATGGAGGCTATACAGACAGTGGATCATACATACATATAGAGGCTATAGAGACAGACAGTGGATCATACATACATATAGAGGCTATACCAGACAGACAGTGGATCATACATACATATAGAGGCTATACAGACAGACAGTTGATCATACATACATATAGAGGCTATACAGACAGTGGATCATACATACATATGGAGGCTATGCAGACAGTGGATCATTCATATATATAGAGGCTATACAGACAGACAGTGGTTCATATATACTTATAGAGGCTATACAGACAGTGGATCATACATACATATAGACGCTATACAGACAGACAGTGGATCATACATACATATAGAGGCTATACAGACAGACAGTGGATCATACATACATATATATAGAGGCTATACCAGACAGACAGTGGATCATACATACATATAGAGGCTATACAGACAGACAGTTGATCATACATACATATAGAGGCTATACAGACAGTGGATCATACATACATATGGAGGCTATGCAGACAGTGGATCATTCATATATATAGAGGCTATACAGACAGACAGTGGATCATATATATATATATAGAGGCTATACAGACAGACAGTTGATCATACTTACATATAGAGGCTATACAGACAGTGGATCATACATACATATAGAGGCTATACAGACAGTGGATCATACATACAAATAGAGGCTATACAGACAGACAGTGGATCATACATACATACGCACATATAGACGCTATACAGACAAACAAACAGTAAGCCAAAAATGGGAGCGATTTAAAAAAAATAATAATAATAAAGATATAAATAAAGAACTAACCTTGGTTTTCCCTGTCCAGTTTGGCTAGGGTCAGTGCGTCAAGGGTGTTGTCCACGCCAGATGGAGTCAGTGTGTTGTCCAAGCAGGCTGTAATCAGTGTGTAGTCCAGGCAGGCTGGAGTCAGTGTGTTGTCCAAGCCGGATAAAGTCAGTGTGTTGTCCAGGTTGGATGAAGTCAGTGTGTTGTCCAAGCAGGCTGGAGTCAGTGTGTTGTCCAAGCAGGCTGGTGCTGGTGTGTTGTCCAAGCAGGCTGGAGTCACACCGGAGGGAGTCAGTGTGTTGTCCAGACAGGCTGGAGTCAGTGTGTTGTCCAGGCAGGATGAAGTCAGTGTGTTGTCCAAGCAGGCTGGAGTCAGTGTGTTTTCCAGGCAGGCTGGAGTCAGTGTGTTGTCCAAGCAGGCTGGAGTCAGTGTGCTGTCCAGGCAGGCTAGAGTCGGTGTGTTGTCCAGGCAGGCTGGAGTCACGCCGGAGGGAGTCAGAGTGCTGTCCACGCCGGATGGAGTCAGTGTGTCAAGTGTGTTGTCTACGCCGGATGGAGTCAGTGCGTCAAGTGTATTGTCCACGTCGGCTAGAGTCAGTGTATCAAGTGTGTTGTCCCCGCCGGCTGAAGTCAGTGTATCAAGTGTGTTGTCCACGCCGGCTGGAGTCAGTGTATCAAGTGTGTTGTCCCTGCCGGCTGGAGTCGTCTTGCAGGATGATGTGTCCATGTCTGGGGAAATATGCATCAAGCCCTTGTATTATCTTCCTATTCTTTTTCGCGTTCACCGGCTGTAAACTCCGGCTGTAAACTCCGGCTGTAAACACCAGCTGTAAACACCAGCTGTAAACACCAGCTGTAAACTCTGGCTGGAAGTTTTGATTGTTCGTCCACTTCTGGACTTTAGTCTTGCTTCAGAGCATTAGTTTTGCGTGTACATCCATTCTACAAATCTGGCTTATTTGTAAGCAGACTGTTGGTTCCTCGCCACACTGGCACATGCACTTCTACCTCGAAGAAACCTTTGTATTTTCTTCTGCGTTTATCCGAAGACGTTAATGCGCGGTGCGTTTTTACCGCATGGCGCCGATATTAGCGCCTTTCGCATTTCTGCAAACATTATGTGTCTGGGCTAGCCTTCCCTTTAACTTTCGTTGGGGACCGCAGTCTCACTGATGTGTAATTTTCTTTGTTTCCTAGTTCACAGGTGGTGCCTCCCATCAAAGCAATCTCGTAACGCTGGTCGGCCCTCAATCCATCCATTTATTTATGTAAAACAAAATGAACAAAAAATCGATCACGTTCAACCTACTGCGAGCAGTGTCAGTTCTAATTGTAGTCTGGCTTTTTTGTGCCGATTATGTTGGCTAAGAAATGTTTATTGCACCAAAACTAGTGGCTTTGAGTGGTACTTCAGTACCTACTGAGGGCTGTTGCGTAGGGGCCAGCCCTCCAAAAATTCCTTTTAAGAAAAAATCAAAAACTCAGCCGCGTTTAACCTGCTGCCAG